AGGTGTTTTTTTTTCTTATGGCTGTGGGAAATGCAATAAATATTCCACTGTTATCACAAGAGTATTTAACCCTGAAGGCAAAGAAGTATTTTGCAGTGAGTTGGCAAAAATGTCAATTTGAATTTCACTAATACCATAATAAATATGCCACAACAAAGACCCTTAAAGGTAAAGGTAAAGTGTTAAGTCATTTCCGGCTCTGGGGGAAGTTCACATCTCCGTTACAAAGCGAAGAGCCAGCGCTGTCCAAAGACGTCTCTGTGGTCATGTGGCTGGCATGACTAAACGCTGAAGGCGCACAGAACGCTGTTAACTTCCCATCAAAGTGGTCCCTATTATTCTGCTTGCATTTTTTACGTGCTTTCGAATTGCTAGGTTGGCAGAAGCTGGGACAAGTAACGGGAGCTCACTCCGTTACATGGCGCTAGGGATTCAAACTGCCGAACTGTTAACCTTTCTGATCGACAAGATCTTAGCATCTTAGCCACTGAGCCATTGCATCCCTCCTGCAAAGACCAATTCAAAAGAAATCCTTAGTTGGCTATTCTCATTCATCAACTAAAATTTAATATTTGATTAATCTATAGATATCCTGCCTATGAATACAACTGATCATTTTCCAGGATTTTTTTCTTGCTTTTAGATAATACAGATAGTCCTTGACTTACAATAGTTCATCTAGTGACTATTCAAAGTTACCAACATCACTGAAAATAATAACATGACCATTTTTCACACTTACAACCATTATGGTATCCCATTGGTCACATGATCAAAATTTGGATGCTTGCCAACTGACTCATATTTATGATGGTGGCGGAGTCCCAGGGTCATATGATCCCATTTCACAACTTTCTGACAAGCAAAATCAATGGGGAAGCCATATTCATTTAACCACCATGTTACTAACTTAACAGCGTCAATGATTTACTTAACAACTGTGGTGTGAAAGGTCATAAAATGGGGCAAAATTCACATTACAACTATCTCACTTAGCAACAGAAATTTTGGGCTCAGTTGTGGTCATAAGACAAGGACTACCTGTACATAAACATATTATAGTAGAAAAGTCCTCAACCCCCAGTTTACGGATGATGGAAACTGGGCTGCGCAAGTAGCAGGAGAGTGCATAAAGCTCCATTTGTCCGTGAATGGGATTAAGTTACTCACACAAACCATACTTTCCCCCCTGCCACCACCCGTTGCTACCGCTGCTGCCAGTCCGCAGAGCCAGAACGGTTGGGGATGACTGTCATAGTAGACAGCTACATAGACCTCTGTCCTTAACCACAATGATACAAAAACAATGAAACATGCATTAAGACATCATCATGCAAGCTCCGCATCACAACAACACATGCAAATACATAAGGGGCAGGACTTGTGTTCCAGCATCGCAATGCACAATTTATCCTTTGCCTCTCTTTTCAGATGTCTACAGACAGCTCCATTTTAAGAGATATTTAGAAGTTTATTCAAGATGGGTAAAACGTGGCTTGTGCACCAAAATGAATCTTGGGGCCTCGATAATTCCAGCCTGCACTTTGGGAGTGATGCACTGCACTTGAAAAAATTATTTATCACTCAGAAGTCTCTCAAATTGAGGCTTATTTCTCTCCATACTTCTGGTTGGTAGAAAGATCACTCACCTGCTTGTCTCTCACTTTTTCTTTTTAAAGTGGAAAAGCCACCTTTCCACCATTTTGTCCTGAATTCCAGTCTGCACACTGCAACCTATCACAGATGAAAGCAAGGCTATCATGGATAGAGTGAGTTCTGTCTATTGATAGAGGTCAATGTCCTACAGCGGAGCAGTGGTGGGATTCACATTTTTTTACTGCTGGTTCTGTGGGCGTGGCTTGATGGGTGTGGTATGGTGTGGCCTGGTGGGCGTGGCAGGGGAAGGATAATGCAAGATCTCCATTCCCACACCACTCCAGGAGGAAGGTTACTGCAAAATCCCATTCCCTCCCACCCCACTAACCTGCTTTCCAGCTCCATTCTCCTGTGCAGGCCAAAAAAAGAACACCCAGCTGATCAACTGGGACTCAGGAGGCAGAGAATAGATGGGGTGAGGCCAGTCAGAGGTGGTATTTGCTGGTTCTCCAAACTACTCAAAATTTCCGCTACAGGTTCTCCAGAACTGGTCAGAACCTGCTGAATACCACCTCTGCAGGGGAGGGGAGGGAGGGAGATGAAAGAAGGAAAGAACGGGAACCTTTTTAAGACCACAATCCTAAGTACATTTTCTTTGGGAACTCATCTTGCTGATTCACCTTAATATAAACATTTTCCATTAATTGAATTCTATTCTGTCCACACAAGGATTAACTCTCAAAACTATTTCAATGTAGTCAGGATAAAAGCAAAGATCTTGAGAGATGTTTCTCATTTCATGAAACAAGGTATAGTTTTATATTGCTCTAAAACATGAACATATCTGTTACTCAGTTACTCATAGGACATATTGTTAATAATATTTAAGACTAAGCCAAATGTCAATTTAATGTTCTCAGTCATCCAGATAGCATGTCTGGAAGTTGAGTCTTAGCAACTGGACATCTTTTCTTTTTTGGTTTGAAACGTTTTGCTGCTTATCCAAGGAGCTTCTGTAGTCTGAGCAAATTGGTTAGGGGAACCGGTTTAGACTAAGCCAACTGATTTAATTATAGTTGAACTCTGGCAGACCTATGCTTGAAATAAACACATTAAACTCAACTAAACACAACTAATATATGAATAAAAATGCCCGGAATTTAGTGTGAAATCTTCCATCCCCAATTAGTTGTAGTGAAAACTTCATGGATGGCAATAATGTAATTATCTCCTATATGTTATTCAGCTTTCGTGGTCCTTTCCCCCCCCTGAACTTTTGCAAAGTCCCTCTTCTGAAGCACAACCTGTGGGATCAGTAGGATGTACAGGGAAGAGATCTGATACCCGCCTCTTGTCTCCCTGGGGAGGGTCATACCAGAGATAGAAGTGTCTCTCAGGAGCTGGCCACCATTGTAGTCATGTTCTTGCATTCGTCTAATTTTAATGTATCCCGATAGAAATGGTTAAAACCTTCTCATGTTTATATCATGATTATTATCTGAGTCACAGCTGGGGTGCTGCTAATTAAATGTATTTCTTAATTAACGAGATCATAGAGAAAGCATGCCAGCCGGGTTTGGTTTTCAATCACTGTTGACAAAAGCAGCTGATGCCAACTTTGAGCTGGGGGTGGATGGAAAGGAGGGGCTTTCATCATTGGAGATGCTGGGTTATCTCAAAGCCAGTAAGAACCAGTTTGCACCCAACTGGTATAACTAGAAAGATCAAAGCACATGGAAGCAACAGCAGTATGGTTGTTTTACCATGCGTCCAACGTACTTGTGCCAGTATCAGTTCCTATCAGTTTAGTTTACACTGATTGTTTCCATAAAGCGAATTCTATCTAGATACACTCAATCCTTTTATGATGCATGATGAATAGAGGCTCCTATACAGGAGTGGGATGCTACCGGTTCTGACTGGCTCTATGGAACTGGTAACTCTGAAGAGCAGCAGACACAGAACCGGTTCTGTGTCTGCTGCTGTTTGGCCCACCCGCCCGCCTGGGCTGTTAACTGACCTTTATTTCCTGCTTTTTCAACCTCAGCTGCTTTGCGCGGCACAGCTGAGGTTGAAAAAGCAGGAAAAAGTGGCTTTTCAAACGCTACGCACCCACGCGCAGCGCTTTTCAGCTGTCCAGGCGGCACAGCTTAAGGTTTTTACATGTGCACGCAAAACATAAGTCACCGAACCAGTTGAATCCAACCCCTGCTCCTATACTACATTTTTGTGGCTTATGGAGCTCTCTTTTGACCATACCACCAATCTTAGCATAAAACTGCTGAACATTTTCACTGCATTATTTTGCCAATTTATACAGAAAATTGTGTAAAACTATTAAGTCATAAATATGCTCAGAATATTAAGTTAGCTCCCACATCACTCCCTCTCTCTCTCTCTTTCTTTCAGATACACAGAGAGAGAAAGAGAGAGAGAGAGACAGATAGACAGACAGATAGACACACACACACACACACACACACACACAAGCTGGAGTTACATCAATAGGTAGCATACAAACATAGGCAAATAAATAAATAAAACTATCCCAGTTCTTGGAAATCCTGACTTCGTTTGCCCATTGTAGTTGTCATTTTGTACACTGTGAACATTCATAGTGTACATAGACAGATACATAGAGAAATATGAAAAATTGCCTTTCCAGATATATTCTCCTACAATTTCCCACTGACTTTTCTGTAACCCTTTCATCTTCCTAGATTCCCACAGCATGGTTCAGAATTCCCACCCACCGTCCATAAGAATTGATGCTGTCAATCTTAACTTAAGATTGCTATAAAAGTAATAGATCTAAGAGATAACGGCTTATAAAGAAAATGATATTATTATTATATTGGTAAGAAAAGTATTAATTACAATACAAAAATTAACTAGCACAAGATATATGTACCCAGTCGACACACTGTATGAATGAAAGATGGAATTACTGTAAATATAAAAATATAAAAAATATAAAAGAGAGAGAGAGAGAGAGAGAGAGAGAGAGAGAGAGAGAGAGAGAGAGAGAGAGAGAGAGAGAGAGTTGATGCTGCTGGGAATGTTAGTCCTAACACTTCTAGAAGGCATATGGGGAAGGAATATATCTGCCCAATTTTGTTGCACGGTTATGATCCACTTAAGAAGATTTAGCTTTTCAGCTGTTATCAGCTAGCATCATAATTTTTTAGGAAAGTATTTATTCTACAGAAAGCTAGTGCTATTTTTCAACTATCTTTTAATATCTCTCCAGGTCTCAAATAAATGGCACAGATTTATTAATTCAAATAATCATAATGTTCAGTTTCAAAATTATCCGTCATGTTAATATCATGAAAATATATAAATAGAGAAAGAATTTAACAAATATTATTCATTAAAATAGAGTAAGAAGAGCAAGAATAAAGCAAGATTTTTTTTGCTATTAAAAATATAGAAAATGTCAGGCAAATAAACAATTTTTCACCTGGCTCCTGAAATTTACTACCATCAATTGATGATCACAGTCTTCTTCTGATGAACCATACATGGCTGAATGACAACTGCCAGCAGCCCAACCAGCAACTGTTAATGGTGAGAGCTGCTGGGATTAGAAGAATACTATGGCTTCAAAATCTAAGGGACTGGTTTGGACAAAACTCAACAGCACTTTTTCGTGCAGCTGCTGATAAAAATAGGATTGCCAATATGATCACCAGTGTCCAATGACAGATATGGCACAAGAAGAAGAAGAAACAAAACCATCCAGTTTTTCCAAATAAGGAGTGAGGAGTTTTCTAACGAGAACTTCTGATGACGATCTTAAGATATACTGGTACTAAAGGTCCATTTGGTCCCAAACCAGATCTGTCAAACATTCTTAAAGCTCCTCTATGTGTTTTGACTTCTTGAAACATGATTTTAACTAATCCAGTGCCAAGCCTAATTTCTAATGGCGGAAATAATGAATCTGGAACGCCGAGCATGATTATAAGGACAACCAGCTACAATTTACCTCAAGCTGCTTTCTTGGTGCTTCAGATCAATAAGCTGATGGAAAGCAGACGTTTGTCATCTATCCCCCTTTTGCTTTCCAAGAATAATTTTCCTGAATCTGATGACCTCAATTATCATTATCCTTAACCAGGCTTATGTGAATTAATTATCATAATCTAAAATGTTCAGAGAGCACCAGTTTGAAAAAGGCTGGTCAAATGGATAAAAGTGAAAATATAGATGTCAATCCCTTTAGTGTTGTAGAGTGGGTTATCAACAAGTGTTATGTTCTTCTTTATAGACAGTCAGAGAGAATAAAAGAGTTGGAAGGGACCTTGGGGTTCTTCTAGTCCAGGGGCTGCCAACCTTTTGGACCTCAGGGACCACCAAACTCATAATTTTAAATCCCACGGACCAGAGACCCTGGGAAAATCCCCAAAAAAGTCTGCAGGAAAATTTCCCACCCCGTTTTCCTACCGATCGATCATTCTTTATTTGGGATCTCAGCATACTGTCTCCAGCTCTGTTCTCAGGGGGAGAGAAAGGGAGAGAAAGGGAGAGAGAGAGAGAGAGAGAGAGAGAGAGAGAGAGAGAGAGAGAGAGACTTTTGGCTTCATGCAAGGAAAGCAGCAGAAGCAGCAGACGTCTTTCTTTCTCTCCCCCAAATTCCACCAGAAATGAGTCTTTTTGAGACTTGTCATGCCAGCGCAGCCTCTTGGAGCAGGATGCCTTGCTGGGTTCTGAAGACTCATTTCTGGCGGAGTTTGGGGGAGAGAAAGAAAGACTTTTGCTGCTTTCCTTGCATGCAGCCAAAAGCAGAAGGAAGAAGTGGAAAGAAGCAGCCCGGTGGCCAGGCCAGGCGCGTGGGACACATGAGGCAAGTTTCCCCCCCTCTGCCCTTTTCCCCCTCCCCTCACTACCTCCTGTTGTTCGCAATGCAAGTGACGCAAGCCTTGTGTTCTTGCTGGCCATGTGTGTGGTGCAGCCTTGTGTTCCCGCACAGCCTGGATTAATTGCTTTGGGGTGAGTGCTTTCGGGGTGACATTTCTCTGCAGACCACCAAAATTTTCTCGCGAGCCACCAGTGGTCCCCGGCCCACTGGTTGGCGACCACTGTTCTAGTCCAACCTTCTGCTCAAGCAGGAAACTCTATACCATTTCAGACAAATGGTTCTCTTCTCAAGAACCTCCAGTGTTGGAGCACCCACAACTTTTAGCACCGCAGGAAAAACAATGAACAGGAATCCAGAAAAGCCACTGGAAGGGTTGCCAGGTCTTGTTTCTGCATCCTAATAAGGCCGGTGCCAAAGAAAATGATGCACATGCCAGTTGCTGTGCCTGGGGCTGTTTCTGTATGGTCTGCAATATGCAGGCAAAACCTTCTTTCCTTCTCTTGACTTGAAGGAGAGATTTTGTGCAACCTGATATTTTGAGGGACTTTCTCTTCTGTTGACAGCCTCAGGGGGAACTGCTTGTTCTTTCGAGCACAGTGTGGCATTAGCCACTTGTACAGCTTGCTTCTCGTTTGATTGTGATGCTCCCCAGGCAGGGCTAGAATAATTCTGAACGCCCCTGCCTGCAGCCTGCGTACTGCAGCTCTCACAACTACCAGTATTGCTTTCTGTCTGCTTCCCAAACATCACGATGCAGAGTTTTAGAGACCTTTCTTGACAGCCTCCCACCCATTGCAGAAAGACCCCCCTAGATGTAACATAGGAAAGAAGCTGTCTGCCAGTTACCAAACCAGGAGTGTGGGGGAGGCTAAACTACTTGCTTTCTGGAAAGGAACACATTTCAAGCTCCAGGAATTCCTTTAATCACTAAAAAGGATTTTGTAGTGTGGAACAGGAAGATTGGACTGAAACTGTGGAGGGGGCAGCATTTCAGACTTCAGTAGCAATCAATAAATAGTTTATAAACCAGCTATTTTGAAATAGATTAATAATTATTTTAGCTATTGTTTTGCAATGTGTTTTAACTGTTGGTTTTCATAATCACCTAACTAATTCAAGAAAATAGGATATAATTTGGGGAAAAAGTAGTAGACGGAAGACAGCTCTGTCAAAAGTGGAGCTGACAACCAGGGCAGAATGAAAAGCCAGTGAGTGGGCCAGCTCTTTGATAATTCCTCTCCAGGCAAGGAGAGGACTTGAAGTCACCCACAAATGCTTCAGACAGTTGTTCCTCACAAGGTCTCCAGAGGTTTAGAGCTCTGGGAGATGGAATAGCTAACTTGATCAAACTGCAGTTGATACCTTTGAAGAGACGTTGTGTTTATATATTTCCTTTTCTAATCATTTCAGAAATTGCTTGTTCAGTGCTATTTATCATTTAGGAACTTTTGGATCAATATGTTTTACAGCACAGGATGGGTTTTCTTCAATCCTTAGAAAAAAATGTTTCAACTACAAATTCAAGGACTTTAAAAAAACTTTTGGAGGAGACAAAGAGCAAAAGTGTTGTGTCCGTCGCAAGGAAGGAGACTCGGAGCCAGTGACTTTAGTTCAGCTCATTTATTGATTCCCGAGATCGGCTCGGGTCCGAAAGAAAAACGGCGGCTTTTATTCTTTCGCCATGACAGTCGCGGCCAATGGCACCGCTTTGAATCTCCCGCGATTAGTTTCCATCAATCGCGGGAGATTCGCGGCGGGCCAATCAGTGCGGCTCGCTCGACCAATCAGCTCGCCGTGCATCTTGACCAATCACTGCGCGGTTCTACAAGAATGGTAATGACCGTACAGAACACCCCTCCCCTCTTGATAGGGTCCTACGTAACGTAGTCCCGTAAGTAGGCGGGGCTACGTACTTGTCTACTTGACCTGCGCAGGTTAGTTGGTGCTTGGCTCCCGGCTGGTTCGGTCGGGTTCTGTGTTGCTCTCTGCCCTGTTGATGGAACCGTCTGGAAGGCTGAGCCGGGCCTTTCGTCGCAGCTCCCTCCCGGTCTACCCGGTCTGGTTGAGCTGCGGTTTCCGCTCCCGCCTGGTCTTTCCGGGCTGGTTGAGCTGGCCTGGCTGCTTCTCCCTGGTGAGGTGTCGAGCTGGCTGCTTGCCGGTGAGTATTCCTGGTTTCTTTCTTGTGGGGTTTGGTCCTTGGGGCCTTCCCTCCCCTCTTGGTTTGTGTTGGGGGGGCTCCCTTCTGTGTTTGCTTCTGTTTGCATGTCGGTTGTGTTTCCCGTGGCTGTTCTTGACCTTAATTGGTCGATGTGTCGTTTCCATGCTCGTCCGTCGGTTGTCTGTAAGCGGTACGAGCGTGGACCTGTCACTTGGGTTATGGTTGCTGGTACCCAGAGTGGGTCTCCGGTGAGGTTTTTCGCGTATACTGCGTCGCCTGTTTTAAATATTCGGTCTTTGCTTGAGGAGTTTGGGGGTTTTTCTGGGTTGTATGTGGGGTGCAGTCTGTCGAGTGGGGACCTTAATTTTCTCCCCATCAGTAGTTCTGCCGGGCTTTTATTGGTTGTTGTATTCGGGGTTATGTGTTGTATGAAAAGCATTTTGTTTATTTTCTCTTGGATTTCCCCGTTTTCTATCTTTTGGATAGTTTTTTTTGTAAATTGAACCATCCGTTCCGCCCTCCCGTTCGCCGCCGGATGTGCCGGCGCTGTCAACATGTGTCGTATCCCCCGCTCCGCTAGGAATTTTTCGAATTCCAGCGAGGTAAATTGGGGCCTGTTGTCGGATACGATGACGTCTGGGAGGCCATGGGTTGCAAATAGTTTGCTGAGTTCCTTGGTGACGGCCTCCGTGGTGGTAGTTCTCATGTTGCTTACCTCCAACCAGTTGGAGTAAGCGTCTACCATGATGAGGAAAGTGTGGCCTTTCGTGGGCCCGGCAAAATCTATGTGAATCCTGGACCATGGTCCCCTAGGGGTTTCCCATTCCAGGATTGGGGCGGCCGGAGGGCTGGGCCTGGTTTCCTGGCATCTGTTGCATGCTGCCACCCAGGCCTCGATTTGTTTGTCCATTCCTGGCCACCAGGCGTAACTTCTGGCCAAGGCCTTTGTCCTAACGATGCCTGGGTGCCCCTCATGCAACAATTCCAATACCTTTCCCTGTAATTTTTCCGGAATAACAACCCGGTCCCCCCAAAGTAAACAACCTTTTTGTAATGACAGTTCTGTTTGCCGGTTCCGGAATGTCCTGAAGGTTTCGTCGTCGTCCTTTTCGGGCCACCCCTTCTCTACCCAATGTAATACCCGCGCCAGACGTTTGTCTTTATTGGTTTCACGGGCAATGTCTGACGCGGTTATGGGTAGATCGGGCAGAGTCTCTATGCTAAGGGTGGCCGTCGTGGGTGCTGGGTCGGTGTCCAAGTCCGGTAGCGGCGTGCGGCTCAGGGCGTCTGCGTGGGTGATTATCTTACCGGGTCAGTGTGTGAGCCGGTAGCTGTAGGCGGCAAGGAATTCGGACCACCTTGTCATTCTTGGGGATAGAATGTTCGGGGTGGCCCTGTTCCCTGCCAGGAT